AACTTTAAAAGCACAACTATAATGACGTGGGAAAATACCCGAACAAAGCTGAATACCATACATATTCATATTTATATATCACATGCATGCATTTATATGTGTGTATGCATGTGTATATATACACACACACTTTTGAGAGCGGGCATCAGACTTTCATTTTTTAATGTGTGACAATAAAATGACAATAAAGTTTATCTCGTCTTAATATCATAGTGCTATATAAGGAATATCTTTAAAAATTTCCAGTGACCAAAATTTATTCTTAATGCAGTTCTAACTAATCTTTTTTTTAAATGGATATCTTTGAAGACCAAATAATTCAGTGCTCAGAAATAGATATCAGTTTTATCACTTTCTTTCATACCCAAATAAATACTTTTAGCAAGGCAGCAAGAATATAAATGAGAATATTCCGTAAGGCTATAATTCTAGATCCATTTATAGGAAATGAGCCTCTATAACAGCATAGAAATTCTAGTAAATATATACTGTAATGTTTTAATTTTCAAACTTTAGAGAACTATTTTTCAGCAATAGAAAATATTGACACTTATTAACCAAGTGTCTTCAACACTAGGTGTTAACAGTTGTCAGAAAATTGTCAATTTCTGTAACAATGTTATGACAAGTTAAGCAGATGACAAACTAAGAACTACCTCTACAAAGTAAGCTATAGTATCTCTTGGAGAGCCATGTTTTGTATCATCATAATTAAATTATTTTTAAGTAGATAGATAACTACTGTATTTTTCGCAGAGTAAGGCACACTTTCCACCGCCTCACCAAAAGTGGCTAGAAATGTCTGTGCGTCTTATAGAGCAAATGTTGCCGAAGCTCCGCCCACCCACCAGCCCCCACCCTTAGGCCTCTGCCTCCCAGCAATTTGCCTCCTTGCAGCAAACAGCCTGGTCAGCTTCAGCACAGCCTGATTTAGCATGAGCAGCTGATTGGCAGTTGGATTGGCCTCCCGGAATGCTGCCAATGAGCTGTTCCAGGCTGTGGGGATCGCCGCCTCCGCGCACCAGAGGTGGTATTCAGCAGGTTCTGACCAGTTCTGGAGAACTGGTAGCGGAAATTTTGAGTAGTTCAGAATACCACCTCTGACTGGCCCCGCCCCTATCTATTCTCTGCCTCCCAAGTCCCAGCTGATCGGCTGGATCTTCTTTTGTTGCCCTGCACAGGAGAACGGAGCTGGAAAGCAAGTTAGTGGGGTGGGGAGAGAATGGAGATTTTACAGTACCCTTCCCCTGGAGTGGGGTGGGAATGGAGATTTTGCAGTATCCATCCCCTGCCACGCCCAAGCAACACCCACCAAGCCATGCCCACAGAACCGGTAGTAAAAATAAAATTGAATCCCACCACTGCCACACACCCCATTTTCGGCCTCCGTGTGCCTCATTTTCAGCCCATTCCTGGCAGCAGCAATGGGCAGTGATCCCCACCGCCTGGAACAGACTGAAAATAGGACGCACAGAGGCTGAAAATGAGGCACACAGAGGCCGAAAATGGAGCATGTGGAGGCGCCAATGGGGAGTGGCAATCCCCGCAGCCTGGAACAGCTGATCGGCAGTATTCCCGGAGGCCGATCCAACCGCCAATCAGCTGCTTGTGCTAAATCAGACTGTGCTGAAGCTGACCAGGCTGTTTGATTTTTGCTGCAAAGAGGCAAATTGCTGGGACGCAGAGGCAAAATTTTTTTTCTTGTTTTCCTCCCCAAAAGCTAGGTGTGTCTTATGGTCTGAAGCATCTTCTAGTACAAAAAATAAAGTACATTAATCCCAGCCTACCCCTCTGCCTAAACATCATTTTTTAAAAAATCATATTTTACTTCTTTTATTTACTTCATCTTTATTTTGAAATAACTCAAGGCACGAAACATACCTAATGCTCCTTCCTCCTCCTATTTTCCCCACAACTATGTAAGGCGAGTGGGCTGTGTGTATGTGACTGGCCCAAAGTCACAGGACTAGAACTCACAGTCTCCTGGTGTCTATCTGAAGGAAAATTTTGGGGGCATGTTATAGGGTCTGTTATTGATCTCAGCTATTGGTGATTGCTGGTTGAAAATGGAAATAGAAACAGATTCAGCTCCATGTTAGAGAAAGACTTTAAATCTAAGCTCAAATTCCAGTGGAAAAAAAACAATAGGAATCTCAATTAGGAATGTGCAAATTCTATCATTCCATGAATATTACATACTTGTATTTTTCAGAACTTTTTATTGTGCAGATTCCAGGCATTCCTACAATGGTTCAGTAGCCTTCCAGAAGTAGAAGTAGAACTGGAGGTGGTTTACAATATTCTGGATATACGCAGAATTAATTATATTACTATCCTCTCAAAAAAGGTTGCCACTGGAAATTTTGGAAGGGATGGAAAGATAATTATAGTAGGAAGGAATGGAAAATCTACACCAGCCTTCCTCATTCTGATGTTTTTCCATTTTGGGGGCTGATGAGAGTTGTAATCTAGCTAATCTGGAAAATGTCAAGTTCCCTATCAAAACCTTAGCAAAACATTTGGATGAACCACTCAGCCAGAGGCTCTCAGACACACAATATTATAAGGTTAAATAAGAACTGCACTGTCCACTAGGATGAAGCCAAATAAAACAGATAATTGCCATCTGCCATGAGGATTAAATGCAAATTAACTCTTATTATCCCTAAACCTGGCAGTTCAAATCTATTACCTATTTCTTTCCCTGTATAATTGATATCTCTTTTCTAGAAAGCATAGCTTGACTCTCAGATGGTTGGAAAGATAAATGAGAAAAAGTTCTCCAAAGCTTCAGTTAAATAGGCTATATCATTTTAGAATTCTGTCACTTTTGTTTTTGTTGAATACAGTAAATATTATGTCCACAAAGAAATATTAGTTCAATTGCTAAATGGCCATGTCCAATTTCTTCAGACCTTGTTAGTGAACCATTACAACTCTCCACAAATGAATCAATGAAATTATACGCACCGCATCCCACACCACAGCAGCTACTCCCAACTGCGTCCAATTCTGCTTAATGTGAATTGTATGGTTGGCAAAACAGAACGTAGAGGAAGATTTATGTAACTTCTGCATACCCCAAAGAGCTGTGCTGTCATAAGGAACCAAAGCCATCTCTTTGCCTATCAAACCAGGGAAAGATACAGAACTGAAAAACCTTCCATGTGAAACCCATTCACAAGAATAAAGTTTTATTCTTGTCCATCTTTACTCAATTTTAGTTCAGATTCATTCCATTAAGAAGACAATAAAAATGCACACCCTGAAAACTGAACTCCCAACTGTACTCTAGTGATGAAAACCAGGCTAAATTTATTTATTTATTTATACACATATACACACACACAGTAAAGTTATTAATTTATGGCAATTGTTTGAATATGGTTATTGATATGCACTCTCATGTTCTGGGTATTATGTTCAGCTGTTGACTAGTTTTCATATTCCAAAGAATGTAAAACTTATTAATCTAATAATGCAATCAAAATACAAACATTAAATATACATATAAATTTGGACCCTACATGGTGCTGCCCTTAAAAAGCATTCAGAAGCTAACGTCATTGAGAATATAGCAGCTCCAGCAGTCATGAGTACGCCCATTTAACATCACCACTGCAAGAATGCCAACTAATTATCAATTAATTTCTGGGCACAATTCAAGATGCAGCTGATATCCTTAAAGCCTTTCGGGACTCAGAATATGGATATCTAGGGGACCTCCTGTTCTCAGCAGGTTCCCTTTTTTAAAAAAAATGTTATTTATAGATTTCCAAGACTTGGGTCTTCTTGGGAAGATGCTGCCCATTTCTCTACAGCAGCATTCCCCTGAAGATTCAACATACCCTAGCATTATTGAGATTTAGGAAACTATTAAACCTCATGATTTTAACAGTGCTCTGAAGGGTTCATTCCTTGAGAGGGATTTTCCTGTGTAAGAATACATAACCCAATGGAGATATGATTTATTTTAACATTTTTAATGGAAGGTAGGATTGTTAGCCACTCAAGAGTCAGTTGATGGTTGGAGTGGCATGTAAGTCTCATAAAATAAATATATATGAAAAAAATATAAAGAAAATGGGAATCATTTGACAGTTACTCCGATTATGGAATCCTTGATGCTCTCTGAGCTTGGTTGTTTGCTTGCAGACATTTTGTTATCAGTCTGGGTAAAACCTTTAGTGTTAGAAGGGAGTGAAGTTTGCTCTCTTTATGTAAGTACCTTGCCTTGTCAGGCATGTTTTCTCATTTCTCATTTATTTTTATTTTATAAAAAAGGAAGTTACATGAAACCATAAACAACACTTTCAAAGGAATGATTTAATAAGGAAAGAAAAAAAGGCAACTAGCGTGAGTGAAAAATCACAGCTAGCAAACCAGACAGAGAAAGTGCTCCTAATTCCCACTGCCAGCGAATTTCCAGGAAGTCTCAAACAGTGCATACCTGATCCTTCAGAGGGGGGTGACTCTATCCTAAACTCTGCCAAACAGGGATAAGTATAGCTAAACCTTGAGCTGCAGAGCTACATTCCAGCCTCCTTTCTGCCATCCATTCCACAACAGGTGCTGGTTTAGAATCCCCACTTCTTTCCTAGAGTAATAAGATGGAAAGAACAAAAAGAAAACATGTACGGCTTATCCAGCATTCCCATTTAGGTAGCACAAAGGACAGAAAGGAAGGGGAAATCTTGAGGCATCTATGAGCAATCTACAGCTATCTTCCCAATGACACTTGGACCAAAAATTAATATTCTACTTAGGGTAAACCTATCCCATGTGGCTACTTTTATGTTTTGATGTATCTAAGGAACATAGAACATTTGGAAAATTGAGTTAGTTATGGCTTGATTAACAGTAGGCAAAAGTATCATGCTATTACCAGTTATCAATTGTTCTCAGAGTTTTTGATTTGCAAGAAAGGTGCAGCCAATTTTCCTTATTTGGCCATATTCCAATAATAGAAGAAGATGCAACTAATAAAATTCTTCCTAACTTTAAAGATATAGACTTGGTTATTGAGATATGTTTTTCATCATTCAATCAATTTTAACTACTATAGTTATTAACTCAAGGGATAAAATGAAGCATATTAAGGATTCAGTAATACAAAAGAACCATAATACAGGTAATCCTCGACTTACAAGCACAATTGAGCACAAAATTTCTGTTGTTAAATGAGGCATTCCAGTTAATTTTGCCCCATTTTATAACCTTTGCCACAGTTGTTAAGTGAATCACTGCAGCTCATAAGTTGGTAACATGATTGTTGAGTAAATCTGGCCTCCCCATTTATTTTACTTGTCAAAAGGTTGCAAAAGGTGATGACATGACCTTGGGAAACAGTCAAAAGTATGAACCAGCTGTCAAGCATCTGAATTTTGATTACATGATCATGGGGATTCTACAAAGATTGTAAGTGTAAAAAATGGTCCTAAGTAGTTTTCAGTGCGATTGTTACTTTGATCAATCACCAAGTGAACTGTTGTAAGTCGAGGACTAACTTTATGAATCCTCATTACAAACAAACCAGAGGCAGTTAATCTGTCTGGGATCCTAGTCCTAGAACCAAAACATAAATTCTTAGGACAAAAAGACTGAACCAGATTCTTCATAAGATTTATAGTCCAAAAGAAGAATCTCCTGTAGTTTTGCACATAATCAAATGTATACATTTTAAGAATTGCATTATGCCTTTGAAAACAATTTGTCAGTGCTCTACCAGGAGAGCACTCAAAAGTGCAACATTTTTAAAAAATGAAACAATATTTAAGATACAATGCACATAACAACAAAAGCTCTGAAAATGTTAACAGGTTAGTGTAAAGCCCATAGTAGCATAAAAATGTAAAAAGTCAAAATACTACTGTAAGAAGCCCTCCACTCAGAGAAAGAAATATGCCGCATGTCAGAACCCTATAAAAATCCATGTACTCATCAAACCAATTTGTCAGCTGTCCCAGAACTGTTCTGCTCATCAATAAACAGAGTTTTTCTTTTCAATCAGCCTCCATTTTAGTTGCAGCACCTTTCTCCCAGTTTGAAACCGAACCGGATTTTTCTTTCAACACTACCATATTCAAAGGACACTAGGAGAATAAAACCTATGAAACGTATGAAAGTATAATAAAGTAAGCTTGCCTGGTGCGTTCTGGAAAGAGTAAGAGTAATGGACGGATAAATCCTGAAATACAAAAGAGCAGAAGTGGTTAAACGGAGTCAAGATATCTTCAGTAGTCGCTATTAAATTTGTTTTGTTTGGCTTGGTGCGTTGCATTAACCCCTAATGTAGTTTTCAAATTACGCGTTATGACCTGGTATTGGAATCTCCTAATTGTGGTTTAATGCAAGACACCGTGGTTTAGTGCAACACGAGACTACCATAGCTACCAGCCAAGAAATCGCGTAGGCTTACAACCCTACATTGATTTCCCTTTCTCTTGTTGCTTCCCTGCAATGTTCTCCTCTCCCTTCTCCCGCACCCTGCCCAACCTTAGGTGCTACTAACCCTAGAAAGGAATCCCCCTTCCTTACACAACTCTGAATCTACGAAGATCCTCCACTCGTCCCGGGCACGTGAGCACGGAAGCTCCAGAGAAGCTAGCCAAGGGGGAGGACAGCCATAGAGATAGGAAGAAAGAGAAAAAGGAAGAGACGCGTCGCTAACATGTTACATCAAAATAAGAAGAAACCCAGACAGCGTTATGGACACACAGTGCTGCTGCTGTACAACCTGACCTAAGATTTAGAGAATGTAACTTGCTTCGGAAGAGAGAAAATAATACAATGGATCATTAGTCTAGGGTATTTCTAATTTGTTTCTATCTCTACGAATACAGGCTCCTCTATGGAGACAATATCTACGGCTGGTCGGCGTACTTGGCTTCAGTCTGAGCCGCCTCTTTCGGTTTGCATTCAGAAAAAACGTACCATTTATTCTTAACATAGCCGTTTGATCGTCTGTCTGTAAATATTGGTTAGGAATAGACGCCAACTCTCTAAGCTTGATTTTCGACTAACCGTGATTTTTTTTTCTCCTTTCATTTAATCGTGTCCGATTCTCGGAGACGATTCTAGACAAATCCCAGCAGTTTTCTTGGCAAGGTTTTTCAGACATGATTTGTCGTTGCCTCTTTCCTAGAGCTGAGAGGCCAAGATCACAGCTAGCTTTGTGCCCAGGGCAGGACTAGAACTCACGATCCCCCAGTTTCTAGTCTACACCAAACTATGGTTAGGATTCCATAAATTTTATAAAATAAATGTCCAAGGGCAGAACAAGAAACAATGCATGGAAATTAATCAAAGAGAGAATCAACCTAGAAATAAGACATTTCCTGTTAAAAAGATTAATCAATGGAATAGCTTGCCTTCAGAAGTTGTATGTCCTCCACCAGTTTTTAAGAAGAGTGGACAACCATTTGTCTGAAACAGTAGAATGTCTCCAGCTTGAGCAGGGGTTGGACTGGAAGACCTCCAAGGTCCCTTCCAACTCTTTATTCTCTCATTCTGTTATATTAAATTCAAATTAAATGATAAGTGGGTAAGTATCCATTGAATTCATGATACTTTTTGTTGTGGATATTTGTATATAATTTCAATTCTGCTGTCTTTATGTATCAAGTATAACACCCTGACCAAATAATGAAGAATATTGGAATATCAAGCAAAACACAAACATGTATTTTTACCAGCCATTTTTCTCATAACTTCTAGAATATTCAGAAACATATGTTTCTTCACCATTATAAAGTTTACTACATTCATTACATTCTGCTAAACTATAAACTGGCTACATCTGTCCAAGAAACTAAATAAACCATGGTTTATAAAATATATAGGCCACGTATGTCACATTTCTAGAGAAAAGGATTATATAGAGGAAGAGTCACAGAGGAGATGCTAATATTATTTTCTGATCAGGTTCATACTCATGTTTCCCATTAGTGGAAGAATCCAATTTGCATGATCACTGCTGAACTTGCATCACAGTTCTGGCACATCTCTGCCCACTAGCCTATGATGCTAAAAAGATCATCATTAAGGAATGAATGTATTCACCGCATAATAATGGTGAACTGTGGTCTAAATGAATCAGAATGGAGAGGGCATTGCTTTTTTTTAGGTCAGCAAAGTAGAAATGAATGAAACATTTATTCATCAAGAGTGAAAATGTTTTGCATGCTTTATTTGCTTCATTTTTAAAAATACTATCCTTGCAAGAACACAAATTTGGTCAATATCGAGTTATCACTATCTTTTAGATATGAAGTTGTAGCCAGAAACTGGGAGGGAGCAGTCTGCCTGCCACACAGAAAAGTAATAAAAATCTGCATATTAAAACAAGTTGTAAAATTGAGCACTCTTCAAGGTTAATTTGCATCTATTATAACTTTTAAATCCAAGATTTTGCTTTTAACACTTTGTTTCTTCAGTCCCCTTAACATTCTTATCATTTTCTCTCAGTGTCTCCTTGGGTAACACTTGATTTCTAATTTCTGCTTTTCCAAGCACCATATACATTTGAACTGAAGCTTACTGTCAACCCATCACTAATATTCCAATTTGCATGATCACCGATGAACTTGCATCACAGTTCTGGCACTTCTCTGCCCACTAAGGAATGATCAAATGCTCTGGGGTAGCAATTGACAGTTCCATGATGAAATCTGCAGGAGGGAGAGAATGTCTACCAACCTAGGTGTTAAGATCCTAGCTAGCTTTTAACAAGCAAGCAACACAGCTTTTCAAGACCAAAGTGACTATATTTATTGATATGCAAACTTTCTCACGTTACTTTTAAATACATTTTTGAAGAACAAGTCAGATCATTTAAGAAGATAAAATCAATTAAGTTTGGAATATGCAAAGATTGTCTTATTTGGGGGAGATGCTTAATCAAAGAAAACTGCCAAATGTTTTGGAAATAGAAGCCTATCAGCAGCTGGATTATGGGGCTTTTTTAGTATATCCACTTTGAGAGTTTATACCAATATTTTATCCCAATATTTATTTTTGTGGTAGCTATTTAATTCTTATTTGGTCTAACTGCACTGCTTCTATTCAAAGTACTATTCTAAACAGGTTTTCAAGGATTATCACTGGATACAGTAGCATTTATTTCTCTGTATTTACTGTTCATTTTGAAACATTTTATTAAATTATAAAATACAAAAATACAAAAGCAAGTGGGGAGGAAAAGGGGAAAGAAAAGTGAGGAGGGGAAGAAGAAAAAAAAGTGTTGGCTTCAGATTCCCTCTGTTGCAGTAGAATAAAGCATTAACACCTAACCTTAACTTTTTACTTTTCCATAATGTAAACTAGCCTTTTCTATAACAAATCAATCTAATCAGTAAAACCCAAAAATCAAAGTTTCATTTTTTTCCACCTTAAGCACAGTCTTCATGTAGCAACAAAAGTGCTTATATTCTTTTCTTTGATCAAAACGGTCAATTTAGCCATCTCTGCCAGCTCCATCAACTTCTGCAGCCATTCCTCCATGGTGGGAATCGAAATGTTCTTCCATTTTTGTGCATATAGTAGTCTTGCTGCCGTCAACATAAAGAAATAGTAATAGTGCTTAGATACTGCTTTACAGCTCTCTCTAAGCGGTTTACAGAGTCGGCATATTGCCCCCAATAATCTGGGTCCTCATTTTACCATCCTCGGAAGGATGGAAGGCTGAGTCAACCTTGAGCCTGGTGAGATTTGAACTGCCAAATTGCAGTCAGCCAGCAGTCAGCAGAAGTGGCCTGCAATACTGTACTCCAACCACTGCGCGACTGTAGTTCACATAATATCAAAGCTCCCTTTTTTCCCCCCTAAGCCTTTTTCCATTAATCCCAAAAGAAAAGTTTCTGGTTTCATCTTTATCTTCATTTTAAGAATTTTCTGTGTTAAAATATGAATCTTATTTCAAAATTTCTTTGTTTTTATCTCTGTATTTACTGTTAACTGCCAGTGTTACATAATTATTCCTAATCCGGATTGTTATGATGTTGGCTGCACAATGTCTAGATCAAGCAGGTGGCAGCCTATCAATTGTATGTATTTGCATGTTGTGCCTTTTGAGTCCAATGTTAACTCCTGGCAACTGCACAGGCAAGTTCTTGCAGTTTTCTTGGCCAGGATTTTCAGACATGGTTTGTCATTGCCTCCTTCGTAGGGCTGAGAGAAAGTGGCTGGCCCAAGGTCACCCAGCTGGCTTTATGCCTAAGGTGACTAGAACTCAGCATCTCCCAGTTCCTAGCTGGATTCTTAAGAACTATTCAAATACTACTGTAGGAATCTTCACTATTATACTGGGCCAAAGGAGCAATCACCATACTTCCCTGTAACATTTTTGCACTAAAGAATCCAAGATACTATAATTTTAGCGGGGAAACAATAAAAATCAATGAGGTCTATTAAAATTACAGGATAGTCAAGTAATAACAAAAGCAGGGGTGGGGGGAGGAGGAATGTGCACGCTGGGCCTGCTGTACTGTTCATGTTTACTTGCTTGCGTTGTGTCCTACTTTCTTTGGAATAAACTTCGATTCCTACAGTGACTCCGGGGATGCCACATCCCTTCATTTTCTTAGGAATGCTACCTAACCGGCTTGCCACGCCCTTCTTCCAGCCCAGTCCTGGGATTCCCCGGAGACGTTCGCTCGGTCCATCGCTACTCCTCGGTTCGGAAAGCAGGCGCGGCGGGCTCCACTCTGCCACCTGCCGACTCTTCAGCAAGTGAGACCCGTCAGCGGCGATCACCGGGCCGGGCCCCTCCCAACGCAGCTGTGTGAAAGTCGGGCCAAAAACACGCCAGGCCATTTGGGCCAACGTTGCTATAACGGCAGCCACAAAGGAGAACGGCTGAGCCGGACGGAAAAGGAGGGGCGTCCTCAAGAGAAGAAGAGATTGGCATTCGGGATCGTTTCCGGCCCAGCCATCCTCTCCACTTCCAGTTGTCAGCACAGGCACAAGAGATTCACCGGAGGAAGCGCGCCCCGCCCAGCGAGTACAGAGAAGCGAAGCCACGCCCCCTCGTCATCGCTCCCCCACCCCCGCTTCCTTTTCGAACGCTCAGAGGGGACGCAGCGGAGCCGGCCCCGCCCTGCTACAGAGCTTTAGGTGGCACCACCGGGGCTATCCCCTGGGACGGGACGGCCGCCGCGGTCACGTGAGGGCGTAAGGCGCGGGCCGCGATTGGCTGGTGGTCGAATGCCGTGTGAGAGCGCCGTCGCAGAGCTGCCTCTGGCGGAGACGGGGCTGCAGGCTCCGCTCTTCCTTCTCTGGTTGCTGGGCTCGCCCCACTGAGGCGGCGGCGGCGGCGGCGGCGAAGCGAGAATGGGACGGCGCTGATGTGGCCGGCGCTGCGGCCTCCTGCAGCCCCGCTCGGGCCCAGCCCAGGCGGCGCCGGCGGCGGCAGTAGTTCCGCGCCAGCATGGGCAACACCGTCACCTGCTGCGTGTCTCCCGGTGCCAGCCCGAAGCTCGGCCGGGGCCGCGGGTCTGCTTTGGGGGCGGTCGGCGGGCGAGCAGGGGCCGGGGCCGCGGCTGCGGGGCTAGAGCGGAGGGGTGGTGCTTACCGGGAGATCGCCGAGGCAGATTCGGGAGACTCGGATCCCGGCGGAGGGGGCCCTCACCTGCAGCACATCAGCGACCGCGAGTTCCCGGATGGTGAGTAGTGACAGTAGCGGCGGTGGCGGCTGCTGCGAGTACGCGCTGGCCTTTTCAGAAGCGCTCCCTCGGCCATCCCTCGCAGGCGGAGAGTAAGTGAGCCTCCGTTGAAAGAATCGCGTAAAGCCCCGGAGTTACTCGAGGAAAAGGGGGTTCGCGGGGAAGGGGTGCGTGTGTGTGTGTTTTCCAACCACTATACTTGGCCCACCTGGCTTCTGTCACGCTGAACGTAGAACATGGCCGGGTTCCCATTGTGGGTGTGGGACGGTCAACTTTCTGGAAGGAAGTGGTTGGGCCGGCTCAGTCATTAGGGTGGAGGAGATAACATTAACGTGTCTTTGTGAAATACAAAAGCTACACAGGCGAAATCATAATAAGTTGCATCCATTTACAAAAAGAATACAAATTTATAAATCAAAATATTCTCTTAAAACGGATAGGCAGTCATGAGTTAAAACAATATTGCCAACTTTTGTTGAGTTGAGGAGACATCAACATGCTCTAATGGACTTGGGGGGAACAAATCTGGAGAGAGAAACCCCCCCCCCCCCGTTTCAGATCACCATTTGTTGGCTTTTTCTTGGTCATTTGAGCAGCAATAGCCTGAGTTGTTACAGTTATGTGCTTGGAGTTGTTGCATTTTTTTCTTCCAGAATTACTGTTGTTTCTGCTGCTGTACATTTTCATATGCATGATAATGTAGCACTTGTGAAATGATGTCTTTTCATAGATTGAAATTTGCTTTTGGAAAGGATTCATTGATCTGCTTGAATATCCTCCAAATTTGTGGCAGAAGGACTTTCTGGAAAATATTTTAATTATATATTGGGGGGGGGGAGTTGCTTGTACATCTCTATAGAACAAGAGATTCCAGCTTCAAAGGATTTAAACATTTTGGTAACATTTAAGATGAAGTGATCCCCAATCTGCAATTATATTAATAGTAAATTTATGATGTTCATGAAAGTCTCAGAAATTCAGTAGATTGAATTTATACTTAGTTATAATTGGAATTTGTCTAAATCACTGGGGCAGCTCCATCCTGCTCAGTAAAACTCTTGTTTTGATAGTCATATTTTGAGCAAAATTGAATTTAAATGAAAAAACTTAACAGCACATAATTAAGAATCTGTGTATTTGACAGATAAAAGAATGTTTGTCTATAACATAAAACACAATTTTATCTGATTTTCAGTTGGCTTCAATTCAGATGCTATTTTTGTATATTTTGTGAAGTGTTATAAATTTTCTAGAAATATTGAAAACAGCAAAGCAAGAGGGTTTGGAACCTGATACTATTTTGACTGGATAATAGTGAAAATTATAGCCAAGTTGAGATACAGCATTTAAGTCACATTCTAATCCATCTCTTTTTCTTAACTCAAGATTAGATTGTTTTATTGTTAAATGAAGAGACCATTTTACTTTGCAAGGAAGTAGAAAATTGTTACTCTATAATGGAGACAAGTTTGGATATACATGCTAGTTTATGGCTATACATTGTTGTGCAATTTATAAATCTATTGTGGCTGGTTTATGTGGTCAAGCACTATTCAATGTGGTTACTGTATGATCTACTGTATCACAAAACCAGGAAATTGGGTTAATTGAATATGCTGGTTAATTTATGTCTCTTATATGGCTTATAATTATACCAGCCTTGTAATGTATTCTGAAACAACTTAGTATTGATAATTGATTTGGTAAAATCAATATCATGAGTAGGACTGAAGGAGGTACACAGACTGTAATAAAGAAAATTAAGCTCTAAATTGATCAAGGTTCCTCCCTCTCCCCCCAAAAAATCCCAGTTTCAGGATTTAACTAATTTTTACTTAATTCATGCTATGCAATTCAGAAATAAGAAAACTTTTAATGGGCAAGCATCATGCTTAATATTTTTGGAAGAACAAGGATTGCATTAAATTGGAGAATTATATGATTGTTAGGTGCATAAGTGGAGTTAGAATATTTAGTTTTTCTTCGGTCGATTATGGGCAAACCAGTTGGTGGCAATTCTCAGTGACCACATAGATTTTTCTCCGTGATGATCTGTACCTGTACTGGTTGGTCCTCCTTCTCCAGTGGTAGGATTCAAATATTTGTACCACCGGTTTGGTGGGCGTGGCTTGGTGGGCGTGCTTCATGCGTGTGCACCAAATGTGCACTTTGAGCAGGCACAGAGGTGTTTGTGCAGGTGCAGATTCGTTCAAACTCACCTGCAAGCCTGCATTCTCCCGGTCACTTCAGCAGCTGCCGCATGGCACTCTTCTGTGTCGCGCAAAGCAGCTGTGCTTCAAATTCAGAGGATAAAGGTAAGTATGGAAGCCTGGGCAGGCGGGTGGGTCCAACAGCAGAGTGGCGGAGAGAACTGGTTCGGTCTCCGCTGCTCATCGCTGCTACCGGCTTGGCAGAACTGGGCAGAACCGGTAGAATCCCACCACTGTCCTTCTCCTCTCGTTCTATGGGAGATTGATATATTTACATAGTTTTCCAACAAAAGCCTATTTTACAGGTTTTCACATGCATCTCTTTTCAAAAGATTACGAATTTAATCACATTTTTTGTAAGTTTTGCAATTCCAGGGTGACTTTGGGATTGCATGTGGTGTTAAGCCTTAAGATACCCATGTTTACTCTGGATTATGCATCAGTTTATGTAGATTTAAACGGAGTTACATGTACTGAAATATTAGACAGGTAGGGAGAATGTGTTGGTTTTTATTTTCTCCAATTTAATACTTAAATTTCAAAAAGGGGTTTGATCCTTCATGCTTTAAAACAGATGGTGCATTTTTTTAAAAATGACATTCCTTAAAATAGCTGCATGCAAAAAGTATAAAAGCACTCCAGAAACAGCCCTGACTATGCTTGGATTAGATTAATTTTATACATGATTTAGCAACCAAGAGCTAGTGGAATGAGTAGAATGGTTTGTAGAAAGGATAAAACTAATACTCTTTATTTGTGCTAATATTTATTTAGAAAGGTTTTCTATAGTACAGCAGACTGAACTAGCTAAACTGTGCCAAAACCTTTCACATTCTTTTTTCATAAAATTCATCAGGAAGGAAACAACAAGGAAATCTTGGTTTTTTGATAGCAAGAATGAGGACAATATGTAGAAGAATTTATTCACCTTTTACACTAGCAATATATGAGAAGTGATTTACTACTGAATTCAATATATGAATACAATATTACTGATTAAGAAAATAGACGTAAATGCCTATACAAAACACAGTTGTACTTTTCAACTTCTACTGGTTATTGGTGAACTGTTTTATGTATTAGCTGCTTTTGGTAATTATAAACTGGAGCATGATGAATATAAATTTTGTATGATTGCTAGTGCTGTACAGGATGTTTCCAAATTCTTTCCTATTCAAAATGTTCTGTTTTGAGCTTTAAAACTTGTCTTCTTTTGGGGGGTGCTTTGAATTCAAAGCAGTCTTAGTAAAAGCATTTCCAAAATGATTGAGATGCCTTATCTGAATGCAGAGTAAGGTAACCCTTGATTTATGACTATTGAAACCTGCCTGTTACAGTCACAATGGCTGTTAAGCAAGGCATCCATGTGATTGCCTATCTTAATGACCCCATCGCTGCTCTCCCTTATGTGATTGTTAAGTGGAACATGGGATATCTTATAGGAGGCCTAGTGCAGGCCCAGGCTTGCACTGCAACACCTCCCTAGGGCACGCATGGCCTACCCCAGGCTTCCCAAGGCTTCTCACAGCCCCTGAAGGATCCCCATTTCTGCTTCCTGCCACACTGGGTCATCACAAACCTTGGGCCAATGTTTCCACCCCGCTAAGTCCTTGCAGGACTTGGGTCTGTTTCCCACTCTACTGGGTTCCACATCCTCCTCCCCCCTGCATCACAGATTGGCCATTTACCTTTTCAGTAGATCTCTTTCTGAAAGTAGCCCCTCCACCGTGTGACTCTTCTACACAGTGGAGGCCATCTGGCAGCATTCTGGAAGTGGGGACCCTTATAAGAGTGGCTGCAATGAATTGTGGTTGCACCAAAATGGTACCTGGTTCCAGGACAGTGCCATATAGCCTTCAGGGAGGCCAAGGGACAATGTGACTGGCTCTCCTTTTCAAATGCAATGTTCAGAGCACTTGAGATTACATTCGAGAAGGAGAGTGGACTGATCCACCCCTTAGCCTCTCTATACAGTAGAGCTCATGTGGCATGATCATAGGTTTATTTTTTATCATTTAGAGTAGAGCTATAACAAGTCACAAAAATAAATCCCAATCATTACAGCAAATAATTGGTTTGGTTTGTTCTGTTTACTGAAATTTAATATTTGTTTTCTTTAGGATGAAATTGTAAAAATGCAAGCGTTAACATTTTTAAAGCTTGCAATGATAATGGAAAGAAGTTTAAAATCCTAAACATAAACATAATATAAAACCAATTTTAAGTGGCTACTAAAACAATGCACAGCACAGAATTAAATATTGTAGGAAATCTATCTTCTATCTATCTATCTATCTATCTATCTATCAATCAATCAATCAATCAAAGCAAAATGCCACTCACGCATCACCATAAATCTCCAGAACTGTAAAGTCTACAAACTTGAAATTTAACATGTATATTCCCCTTGGCTTCTATGTGCTCACTAAGAAAGGATTTTTCAAAATGACCATCAGAGAATTAGTATTTTGTATATTATTATTAACACGCCCAGATGCTAAGGAGTTCTATTCCCCCTCCCGACCTGAAAAGAAATATGTTTCAAATGCAGACACAAGCAAGGAGAGGAGTTTCAGTTTTAGTTTCACAGCACCAAGCAGTTTTAGTACAGAACAGTTGAGCTAAGCCAAGCCCAGGCTCCTTGCTGTCTCCTTGCTCACACAGCAAATACTGCTTCACTTTCCAAACAGCCCTCAACTCTCTCACACACTGACAGGACGCTAGCCAGAGGAATACCGATGGATGCTGGTAGGCAGAGGCAGAATCTTTTCCCCTTATTTTCCTCCCCAA